AAGATACATTACTGAAACAATCAAATTTTCTTCTACGTGGTTGAAAGAGATAAATTAATAAAATATTTGCATAAGAGTCTAAGGGTGACTGGCTTAGACAAAATGTAAAATTCATATCAATAAACATAGATTAAACTATTATAAATTTTCGCACAAATCGAAAAAAGATGTATCGAATAATTTAAGAAATCCAAACAAGGGTATGACTTCACGTCGATTTTCAGAGCGCAGTATTTTGTTCAATACGCGATACAAGCTGTTATCACCACCTTCCATGGTGTATAAAAAAACGGCAGCCGATTTATCCCGTGTCAGTTGATCTTTTGATGGATAACAGCAATATTCTTTGGCTTCTTTGATCGATCGATCCAACTGATCGAAACGGGACATAACAGGTTGCAAAGCTTGTTCAAGAGGGAGGAGAGAATGTTGCAAGAAGGCACCAACGGGTGGGAGTTTTTTGTTACCTATCTCAATGTCTAAGAATCGATTCATCTTCGCAGCAATATTCTATTCTAACAAGATGCTTCTCTAAGTACGGCATTAACAAATCTAAAGCAACTTACGTAGTTGTTGGTTGTTGTATTGCAGTCGACGTCGCAAAAAGAAAAAGTGTTCCTATGATAACACCTTTTGCTTATTATCTTGTAATATGAAAAATAAAACAAAGAGCATTGTTTCTTTTTCTTCTAGTAGAACATTCGAGTCGCAGAAAGAAAAAGATAATTCAAAAGCATGAATGTCTATATCGAAGTCTGATAAACACTGTTGACTACTCTCTATTAAAGGCAACAGAGGCGTCCAAGAGCCATTTTTAGGCCATCTTTAGTTTTCCTCCATGTATGACTTGCTTCGTCCGAGATTTGGATGGGTGGGGTGTGGATGTGAATGAGTATGAGTGTGGGGTGTGGGTATGGGTATGAGTGTGGAGTGTGAGTGTGGGTATGGGTGTGGGATATGAGTGTATGTGTGAGTATGGATGTCGGTGGGTGTGTGGGTGTGTGGGTGTGAGTGTGGATGAAGAGAAGACCTACACCCACCCACACCCATACCCTTTTCAATAAGATTTATCTATCATATGTGTCGGCAATACTAATGTCTATTTGATATTTTTTTATATAACTTTTGATAGAAATAAGATAGGGAGATGCAGGTTTTCCTTTTCGAAAGAGAACGACTGCAACTTTCTCGAAGTTTTTCACAAGGAATTACAGTACCTTCAGCACTACTCTTGGTATACCGCAAGTATATTAAAAGGTATGAAGTGAACGCTTGTTTATATATAATTTTCTGACATAAAAAATTTACGATAAGAATTCAGTAAATATTCCATTTTGGAAACGCACCCTTTTAAAATAGAAAACAGAAGCAATCAGAATTTTGGGATAGATAAGCTACAAGATTCAAGTATTTGCTTTAATATAAAATAAGTTCAAACAATACATTCAAAAACATGCATCCAATTTACAAATCAACTAATATCGAATAAATAAATTCGATCACATTAAGTGCATAAATCTTTAACTAAATCAATAGTTTACTAATAGGTTTTACATGAAAAATATGTCTATGTAATTCTTCATCAAGCACGTACTATACTTACAACATTACCAAATATTAATCGTATTGACTTATCTAATTTACATCATATATTTATTATTGGTGATCTTCATGGATAATTAGCTGGTTTATTACATATATTAAATGCGGTAGCTTAAGATTTTTACAATAACGTTTGTTTTTCTATTTGAATTATTTATTTTTAAGTAGAATGGATTATCTGCAACTAATAATCCATATATATTCAATGGAGATTTTGTAAATCTAAGTCTGAATTCAGTTGAAATTATTCTTTTACTTCTGGTTGCTTTGATTCTCTATTCAAGTTTAATAATTTCTTAATCGACGTATTTCTTTTCTTCGTATTATTAATTTTCTCGTTAAATATGTGTTTGTTTTTTTTTGCTTTTTCATCTTTCAAAAATTGATCAGTAATCATAAAGATCATATGATTACACTTCGATATGGTTTTGAAAGTGAAATTAATCGAAACTATATACAGTCAGTTCATCATTTTGTAAAAGAAATCAATCTAATGAAAATATATTTAGAAATGTAAAACACGATTACTTGATCTATTTACAGATATATTTAGTTGATTACCAATTTATTCATGTGTTGATATAGGAAAATTTAAACTGATGATTGTTCATGGAGGGATATCTGATCGTATTCATTTATCACAAATAAATTCTCTTGTAAGATATCAATGTAAAATTGAAAATAATAAAAATTATATTTATTTACTTGTATATACTTCACTTAGTATACGACCGAAATCGTAAAATATCGGTGAACGGTTGACTAAAGATGAAAAAGATGCATGTCTTCAAATTCAAGGTACTAATTATAGATATGGATAATCTTATGTATTTGAGATTAAATATAAATAGATTTATTATTGTGATGTGATCCAGATCCTGAAGATCGTCCGGGTTGTCGAATCAATAATGAAAGACATATGGGTTATTTTTTTTGGTCCGAATATAACAGAACAATTTCTTAGCGAAAATCAATTTTTAATGCTTATATGTTCACATGAAGTTAAAGAAAATGGTTATGAATCTGAACATCACAATAAAGTTTTAACTGTGTTCAGTGCACCAAATTATAATGGTGAATCCAATTGCGGTGGTATTGCACGCTGATTAATAAATATGATAATGATTCTTTTTTTTTTTCGTTTTACATACTAAATTTATTCTAGAGATTATAAGATAGAAGGACCATGGATTATATCATATACATTTCAAGATATTGCTTCCATTGAAAAATTTAAGTTTTAATAAACAGTAAGATAATCAAAATTGAGATATATCTTTGTATTCTTTTGTTTCGTTTAAAGAGTAACATTATTCGAAGATCCAGTTTATCAAACATTAATAGAGAAAATTGTGGCAAAGAAAAGTTTACTTAAAAGAGAATTTGAAAGATCAGATAGAAATCAATCTAGTATTCAATTTCTAATAATATTTCTTCAGAATATTAATTTTCTTTATCTAATTAGATCATATATCTTAGACAGCTTAGGCCGATATAATGAAAAATGTTCTTCAAATTGATTTACCTTGGCTTACTTTACGTTTAAAATTTGTAAAAGAAGACATACAAGGAATCCTATATACGTAATACTATGCTTGAAGAATATACTTTGGATAATACGAAATTTCAAAAGGTATTAGAAAGAAGGAAATTATAAGTTAGTATAACGATCTTATATTATTCTACTCTCATACAAGTATTATAGCCGCCATGGTTGGCTGATTACATTGTTCGACACGTATCGACAACGTACTGTGTTCAAACCTCAGTATCACCATTCATGGAATGACTCTGGACAAGTCACTAACGGCTAGTTGTCTCAAGGGTGTGTGGGTGTGGGTGTGTGTGAGTGGGTGTGAGCATTTCTTCTCGCCTTCTCGTTATTAGACACTCGCACCCACACCCACACCCTCTGCCTCAAAAGAAATAGTTTGTTGATTGATCTATAAAATGAGCCGTTTCTTCACTTATTGAATTTAATAATTGAATCAATTGAATTCTTAACGATTTACTCGAGAAAAGAGATCGAAAACAATGATTTTTAACTGATTTTTTAAGATATCCTCAAGGTCAATATGTATAAATTAATGCGATAATCAAAATTGAGCTTAGCGTTATCAGAAAAAAAAACGTATTTCTTGTAGTCCTAAATAGTATTATCATAGAATTCATAACGTTTTCAATCACGTCGTCAGTAATGCTCGAAATATATTTGATTTTCTATCCTCGAAATGATGTTATTATTCGTTGAATTCTATCATATAAAATACAACATACATTAAGGACCCTCCCCCCCTCAGAAAATCCAATTTTTCGGGGACGAGTTGAAATTGAAGTTTTATTATAGGAAGACGCACCGAAGTCTCCTCTTTCAGAATATCTATGGTTTACCGAAAAATGAATTGATTTTGACGAACTTATGGCCTAAAACTTCGCTCCTACCATCAGATTTTTCGAAAAATTTTCACAGCTTTTTTTTCAAGCTTTTTCGACTTTTTAGGCTGCTTTCTCTTTACATTAGCATTTCGTAAAGATTTTTTAAATGCTAATCACTAAGAGACTATGAACACTTAATATTAAGATCACATATTTATCGTCTGTCTTCAACACTGATATATAAATGAAGTGATTTTCGAGAAAATCGATTTCTAATACTTATTTTCCGTTTTTCTCAAAATCAGTTTTTTCGTCATGCAGTTTACGCGGACAGGTTTTTCTCCATAACGACTCGACATGGAAGTGATAATTTTTTTTAATTATATAGGAGACATGTAGACCTAGGACTTAACAGACTGCGGTTTTTAAATTTCTCTTTTGCTGAAATAAAAAACTTAGATATATTATTTCTATTAGTACTTCGAATTTGAAAATTTTTCGAAAAACGTTTTTTAAAAATCAAATAAAGGGAAATTCAAAAATCGGCGCCTGCTAAGTGCTAGCCCTAAGGATACTCTACAACTTGAAAACCGCCCGGGCTTGTTAGCTCGTATCCTTATTGTGAAATCTTTGCCCGCGTAAAGGGTAATGAATTGACTAGGACTTGTGTATTTCTTTGGGATTTGGGGGAGATATTTTAACCATAAGCTATTCTAGTCAAGACTAACATTCTCTGAAATTTTGGTTGAAATTGGATGAAAATTAGCAAAGTTCATTTCTAAGGGAGGGGGGGGGGGGCTTAAGTTAATTTTGAAGATAGTCTCAGATAACATACAACAGAGTTTTTGAAAAATTCACTAAAACATCTATAATCTAAGATGTAAGATAAATGCATAAGAATTTTCTTTGGCATTCTGTTGTGTTTATATAGACTTATCTTTGGAGTGATTTTTCACTCAATGAAGTTTCCAATTAAATCTATTTTCTAAAGAACATTTAATTAGGCTGGATGAGTTGGTCACTGTGTTGACACTGAATCAACAACAGCTAACAAACTTCATGAACAAGATCTTGAACAAAAACAAGATAATATTGATAGTGCCTTTAGTGGAAGTAGTCAACAACAGTATAATGATGAATGTGATAATTGTAGTAGTGAAATGGAACAAAAACCAAATAGGAATGAAAATGAAGTCGATAATTCTTTTAATGTTGATATTTTAACACAATTACATTCTGTTATCGAGGTCATTCTCAATGACCCGCATGGCATGACTCTCTCATGACCATCTTTATGACCATGGCGCCGTCATCGTCCGATTGTTCAAGGTATGACCTGACGGGTATACGCATCACCACACCTATATATACCCTCTCATTCTATCCATTCGACATTCATTTTTTGCCTTTCGATTGTTTCTCGTTCTTCTTGTTGTTTTTTTATAAATAAAGATAGAAACCAGTGCTAACACATTCGAATGACAAAGAATATCAAGAACTACTGGTAAAAAATCTTTCATCAGAATTAATAGATGATTAAAATAATTAGTTTCGTTGTTCTCACAGGCAATCAATTTAGCTGATCAACATTTATGGAAAAAAAGAATTTTTCATTGAAAACAAACCTAAATAAGATTATTTATTGGTTGAACATCAAGCAAATCGACTCACATCTCTTTCGATAAGGTCTACTTGTAGTTTTTTCGAACAAATATATTTACATGATTGATTCATTCTTCTATTCTTTAAAATATAAACATAAGCAAGATTTTTGTAAATCACACACTGATATATTTCATTTGAGTATGTGGGTATGGGGTGTGCCTCTACCTGTGCATGAAGAGACTGAAACCAACACCCACACGCACACCCACGCACCCACATCTACACCCCACCCACACAAAGATTCTCGGAAGGCTGATGAATGCATTCGCTGAGCCATCGACCACGATTTCAAAGATCCAAAGACTATAGAGCAAGCGAGATTACAAGTGTTTTGAAGAGTACGTTTTTATCGTTTTTAAATGTAACTCTTGCTATTAAGTGACCGACTCCATATAGCTGACATCGTACTTGTTCGCAACTTTTGCTACCTTAGAAGATATTTTAAACAAGAAAATATGGTGATAAATTGAGCCAGATCTAATTGATAAAGAAAATCGAGCAGTCAAAAGTGGCGGAACGTAGAGACGCCGATGGCTGACTGCGAGTTGTCTATAATACATCACATTAGTATAGTTCATCATAAAACTGACAGACTGCACTATTCTATAAAATACTGGTCAACGAAATCATTATAGATTTTTCGTATACGTGTATTTGGTCAGCAACAGATCTCAAACCAAGGGAGAAAAGACTGATCTAAATTATCTGAAAATCATAATTAAACCATTTTGAATCATGCGAAAAAATGATTTAAGTCATTTTCAAATCACAAAATCACAAATCGCTTTTTCCTCCTTGTCTGAAACGCAAAGTCTAAAAAGAAATGATAGATAATGATCAGATCATATTCAGTCGAGAGTCAAGCGAGTTGTAGAGACGAACGAGCGTTATTTTTTATTCTATATCAAATGATCGTTAGCCTCTACTTGTTCCATTAATAAAAGAATTATGTGACCGAAAAACTTTCTCGCACGACGCCATCTGTTTCACGTTTGATGTGTCGTCATTTTATTTTCACTTTTCTATTCTGTGCCTGTTTGAAAGAAGAAAAAAATACTCACAAGAGAATATTAGTAACTTTCTCTTTTGTGATGAAAGGAGATGTAAACAGAATTTCTTCTTTCTATTCTCCGTTCTCCGTTCTGTTCCATTTCTTTCACATACGATTTTTTTTACTATTAGTAATAGCGCCACAACAACAACAACAATGTCAAAGTAATAGTTACCCGGTGAAAACATTAAATCTACTATAGCTCAAAATTAAGTCTCAGATCGATCGGGAGATTCAGCGATGCTTATCAAAGAAACCAATAGACCACCGACAACAAACGATCAATATCAGCATTCGGAGACAATCTGGCGTGTTATTCTTGATGTTATTAGTCTCTCAATCTGTATGATTAACTTTTGCCTTGTTAGAAAGAATAAATATCTTTTTAGTACTCGCTGTATCGCTCGTTTCACATTATCTCATTCAACCATTTACACGCGGATTCTTTTGTTCCGATACATCAATAAGATATCCGTATAAAGGTGACACGATTCCTTTCTATGCAGCAGCTATTGTATCAGTTGTACTCCCAATTGTTTGGGTAATATAAACTCTTTCAGTTTATGAAGAAAAAGAAACTTTCTTTCTTTGTTAGATGTGGATAACAGAATTTTCTAAGCGTTTTTATTTCAATCGATATCCCAACCAAGTATTTTTAACACGTTTAGAATTCTGCGGTGGAAGAGTAACAACTATTACACCATTTGTTCGTAATTTATATATTCTGACCGGTAAAATTTAATTTTTCTTTTCGAACTGATCGATGTTCTTCTTGATTGATTTAGTTGTCTTTGCTTATGGTTATCTTTCTACATGGGTTTTAACGGAAATCACCAAGAATTTTGTGGGCGAATTAAGACCACATTTTCTTGCGGTATGTCAACCGACGATTGCTTGCTCAACTCTATCGTTAAATCAGTTTAATTCGTATTTACAATTTGGAATTAATTATACATGTTTAAACACTGATTCTGGACTTGTGCGAGATGCTCGGTGAGTTTCGATATACATATA